CTTCATAAAACACCCAGGATATTGGAATATGGAACTGGAGATTCCTCAGAAACACCTCTGAACTTGTTACCCTTAGGGAAAAAAAAAAAACGTTTAGCACAAAAAAGAGTCCCTGCTCTTGAATAAAGGAGGTGAAATTGAACATAAACTATGGAGAGGTTTAAATTAAAGAATTTCTTTAAACACCACATTTTCTAGTTTTATACCTCAAATATAGCACTTAATTTTAAAAAGCATGGACTGAAAATATAAGTGAGAACAATAACAATGAAATCTTTCTCCATTGCTAAAAGGATTACTAACTTTGTGTTTTTCACTCGGCACTGAAGATTATTTCTGTCAGCAGGAGAATTGCAATTGAAATGGTCCTGGCAGCTTTATTTACACCATTATTTTTGTTTTCTATTAGACTAATTTGTTTTTATTTGGCTTTATTTTGTGTCTGTTTAATGTTTTCTGCCTAGTCAAACCCAGTTTCCATTTGCATTGCTCATTCTAATGGGACTACACTGTCTCCTCTGTAGCTGTGCACTGCACAGGTGCTTTGGGCCGTTATGCCAGCACTGGGCTGTCCTTCACTACCTTAGCTCTACTGCTTGTCAATTCTGCAGAGTGCCATCCCAATCCCATTAATGTGCTCACTGATTTAGCAGAGAGCAGAAAATCTATCCTAAATGTCATGCTTGTTTTTATAGGGCAGACTGAGTTGCATGAAAGGTGTGTGGTTGCAAACAGTAGCTATGTTAAGGTTTAAAGTGCTAAAAATCAGGATTTGGGATTAGGTAACTCGAGTTAATCAGCAAATGGATCCAGATACTGGGTTTCCATAATATTTATAATATGTGAATGTCTTGGGATTTGATGCGTGTATTTCCCCACTCTCAGATTGCTCTAATAAGTTTTCTTAGCTAAGAAGGTCCATGTAAGAGGTTTTCCAAGAGGCATATTTTATTACTAACACCATATTGACTGCTTTTATTGTATCTCTTTAAAGTAACTGTGACTGAAGCAGCACAATTAATTTTTATTTTGTTCTGATAGTTCTAGGTCATTTGGGCTCTGACTGCAAATAAAAACCTTCTCTCTTTACTCTAAGGTTTATACCTGTTTGACTTGATACCAGATCTAAATATACACTGAGGCAGTCATAAAAAAAAAAAAAAAAAAAAAAAATCATCTGCAGGATGAGTGAGATCCTCATGAATATTTGTGATACCATTAGACAGTCAAATGAACCCCAAGGAGAGAGGAAAAGCTGCAGCAATCCTCAGGGCAGGGATGTTGCCTTGCTTCGTGTTCTATCTGCAGCAACTGCAGCAGCCCACGTAGAGTTAGTTGATTTCCTATGGTCAGATCCCTTTGGTGTTATCTGCTGAGTTTTCTTTCACCCGAGTTGAACAGGGACTCATTAAATTATTTTTTGCTCTGAGGTGGAGGAATTGGGACTGGCTGATGTGCTTATCCCTGTAAGGCTATTCTGGTGCAAATGGTTTTTAAAAATGTGGCCTGTGGCCATGGGTAGCAGTTACAGGTAACTGAAGTGTGTCTCTCTGGCAAAGAGGATACCACCCCTTAGCATGGATATTTACATTGGAACTTCACTTATTATTTGTAATGAATAAATAAGATGGCAATGATGAGTCCAAGTAATTTCCAATCTGAGACTTTCTACAGCTTTACTTACTTTATCAGGCCCAATAAGGCCAACGAAGATCCCACCACATTTACCCTCTGACAATTTCATTTGTTGTAATTTAACAGCGCAAGTGTTGCAAAAAGCAAATTCTTTTTCCCACTCTGGATCATGAGATTAAGTTGTCCTCTCCTGCCTTAAGGTCTCTCATAACAATGTATTCAAAACTAAGCACTGTTTGCTCACTTCAAGGTTCAGAGAACACAGTGTAACATGAAAAGAAGGTTTATGCGTGTCTATATTGGCATTTTCTTCGACTGTGTGTTTCCTAGCAAGCTTCAGTAATTTTGTCCGAGTTACTTCATGCCCTGTTCTGCATTGGTGAAACAGCTCTGTAAGCGGAGGGGTCTTTTTTTTTACCAGATCAAAAACCTTTCACATATTTCTCAAAAAGATTTTCCAGGATTTCCAGGGGCAATGTGGAAAATTGTTGTCCAGTGCACTATCTAGAGTGATCTCTGAAACATCCCCTTCTTTTGGACTCTTTCAATTCTCACCAGAGGCTTTGAGGATGTTGTTTTCCATATTTTAAGTCAACTTTCACTGAGAGTTTACTCCTCTGTAGCACAGGTAGCTTTTGGAGCTATCAGTACTGTCGTGCCTTTCAGAAGCTCTCAAACATGCCACTTTATTATTTAAATAGTTTCTTCATGCTGGCAAGTAATTTTCTTTTTAAAGCCTTTTTAACTTAAAAATATACATGTACCCCATAGGTTGGAGAGGAGTGTTGTTTGCATGAATTAATAATAAAATATGCATAGCGTAAGGTAAAACCATGACCATCTTTTGGTCTGTGTGTGGTATGGGATCAGAAAAGCTGTTGCAGCCATTTCTGAATGTGGAAGCATTGCAAAGCATTTTCTGTGTTTATAATGCTAAGGAAAATATTAGTGCAATATCTAATTTGATGTCTGTGGCCATTCCCTCAGACAAGAGAAAGTTAAATAGTTCTTTCATGCCTTTGAAAATCTAAGATCAGTTTCTGATGTTTTGGGTTGAGAGAATGCTGATGTTGTCCAATGGTTGCTGTGTATTTCATTAACATATGACAAGTATATGTAATGAAAAACTGTACTGCTTTTTGTAAGCAAATAACAGATCAAAATCTGTTCACGCTCTTGTCTGTCTTATTCTGATTTTTTTCTTTATTTTTGTAAGAATCAGACTGAGATGATTACCATCAAAGCTTTATGCCACACCGTCATTCTTTATTGTCTTGTACAAAATACGTTATTCCCATGAATTTGGCTTTATGGCAATCCCTTCTCCGTTTCCCTGTATCTGTATTTTCATTCTAGCTGTTCCCAGACAGAGTGAAACAATGAACATGTTAAAATGTCTCGTGAATTCTCTGAAATGCCAACCAGCAGAAGTCTTTGACTGCCTGATTGCCAAGGGCAACTGGATCTCTTTGAATCAATTCTCCTAATATGTGAATGATGACGGGTGGGAGGAAGCCAGGAAGCCTGGCTGGTGCTTGGTCCTGTTGTTGCAGAAGTCTGCATCTCCACCACTGCATCTTTTCTTTCCATGAGCCATTAAAGCTGATGTTGATTTCATCTCATCTAAAAAAGGAAAAAGTGGAGAAAAAAAAAAAAAAAAAACTTATGAGGGGAATCAGTTCCTTCCATGGTTTACGGCTGTTTGCCAGAAGGGTAATTAGCCTGAGCAGTCTTTCACTGTAGTACTGTTGTTATTAGTTTAACCTTAAACTCTAAGTGCTTGTATGATTAGGACTGATGGTTTATATTATATCTTTTGAAAAAACTTTTTCTGGGAGGGAGAAGCAGCTTGAAAGCATAGCAAGTTGTTCATATTTCTAGGAAATATTCCTCAAGATGGAAGAGGCTAAAAGTACCTTCACCTTCAGATTCCTTCACCCCGAAAGGTTTAGTCACAAAAGATAGTTTTTCTTTCCTTTTCTTTTTCTTTTTGAGAAATGTAGCCTCCCTGCTGCCCCAAAGCCTAATTCATCTGAAGAAGTGTGTTTTAAATGGTTGCTAATGTGCTGTTAAAGATGGAATTGCACTATTCCACAGCCATCCCAATTACCAGACTACCATATTTCACTCTGTGCTAGCAATGAAGTGGGCATTAAAAATCACAGTAACCATTTTGTTATTGTACCATCGTCTAGAGAAAGGTCCATTATATGTTTGATGTGATCATTTTGTCAAAGACAATGAAGATCAAAGCACAGTAGGAACTTGTAGCGTCTGCTTTTCTCCTCTCTCTCTCTCTAGCCTTTCCCCTTCTGTCTACCTCCAGAAAATTCTGCTTTTTGAAATAGTGGAGGATTTTGCCTTTCCCTTCTCAGCATATTTAGTCACCCACCAAACCCGTAAATGAAACGTTCAGTTATCTGAATGCAATTAGCCACATATCTATTTTTCATCTTTTCTTTCAGTTATTTTGCCTTTTAATTATCTCTCTTTGTTATTAAAAACAGTCACATGCTAAATTCAATCACTCTGATGAACAATATGAAATAAAGAAGTTCAATCTTTTATAATAAAGCTCTTCTGTGGGATCCAGTGATGCTGTGATTTTTATTTTTTTTTTTCACCATTAAGAAATTGCCCTTTTCAGTTGTCTGTTGCTCACCTTTTCTTTTTCTCCTGAACAATAAACTGAAGAACCTCAGTTGTAAGATACAAAATTTTGTACTTTCTGTTCCAGAGCACTTCCTTCTGCTTCTAAATTTGTTGTTTCTCTGATGACTAAAGAAGGAGCCATCATTTTTGAAAGATAATCTGAGATAAAGCATTTAAAGTTGCTCACTGCAAAATACCAGCCAGACTTCTTACAGTTTACAGGAGAAGAACCATGCAGAATGGTTCACTTTGGGTCAATATGCAACAAATATAAACAGTATTACATTGGTGTTGTGTTGAGCTACTCCTTCAATGGCCTCCTATGGCTTTAGCCATTTATCAGAGATTTTTTTTTCAGCTTCTAGCATCAAAGTACCTCTCTGCTTCTTTTCTGTATCTCAGCTTGGACTGTCTGAACTACAGACCCTGGCCCCAAAGAAGTGCTTTGTCCTTACTGTTTACTGTAATGCATTGGGTTTTGGCCTGACAAAACCTTTATGTAGAGAGACGACCAGAACTGAAACTCATTCTGCCAGTAGGTGGGGACTTGGGGAGGTTAGTCTGCAGTTCTGTTTTTTGACACCAAAAGCTATGTTGGATGATAAAGACACATCCTTTGTTTTTCTGTTGGATGCATTCAGCAAATTGCTTGCCAAAAATCTCATTCTCTTCAGACGATGCTGCTAATATTCCTTTTCCTGTTTCTTTTACAGTTTGTTGCTCACCCTAACTGCCAGCAGCAGCTGCTCACCATGTGGTATGAAAACCTCTCAGGCTTACGACAGCAATCCATAGCTGTGAAATTCCTGGCTGTCTTTGGGGTTTCTATAGGCCTGCCCTTCCTTGCCATAGCCTACTGGATTGCTCCCTGCAGCAAGGTAAGGACTTCCAATAGTTCACGTTGCTTACTCTGATTCTTAGACTCCTATTCTTTTTTGGTAGTTGCTGTAAGTTCCTCACTTCTTCTGGACTCCTTTCTTCCCTTTTCTCCTTCTTTTTAATCTTGTATTTTCAGTTATAGCGAAGCATTACTGTGGCACGTGTACCTGAAACTGGCAAGACACGGAGGACAGCTTAGGGTTGCAGAGAAGGCTATAATTAATCAAACAATCTTTATGGTTTTGAGGGAAAAGATGATGAAATTTGGAAAATTTCCGTATTCCTAAATATGGCTGTGCTCTGTCTCAAAGCATCCAGTGGAGCAGGAGTGTTTTGCCAAGGCTTAGAGATCACAGGAGTAGGGCCAACCGCTGGCCTATGTACAAGCTTGAGCTCTGTAAGCAGACTTCCATCCTGATGGAGACAGCTCAAATGAGTGGAGATAAATAGATGTGTGGCTGACTGATAAATAGCTTTTTTTTCCACTACTCTTACTGAAGGAAAAAGAGGTGGCAAGGGAGAAATTTATTTCACGTTCAGCAACATCATCCTTACAAGGTAGACTGTTTAGACTGTTCTCAGCAAGAGGATTATCAAAGGTACTTAAGTCTGATAGAGATGACCCCTGGCACTGGTAATTTACTCTGTCTTGAAAGCAGCTTCTCATGTTTCATTTAAAAATCCAGCAAGGAATTGTCTAAATTTGCCAAACCCAAGAAATTATAGATCTGTGGGTGGATGTTAAGGAAACACTGTAAGTTAAAAGATTTATCTGTAAGTAAAACTAGACAAACCTTTTGAAAACAGTCTTCCAGGGCATCCAAGATGATAAAACATTTTTAAGGCTTACAGTCCTACAAAACAAGTACTTTCTCTTTGAGTGCTTGAGAATGCAACTTCATTTTGTTTAGATAGGTATCAACATGTGAGCCCGTAGATCTTATGAATACTGGCCAAGACTCCAGAGCTCCCCATGGAGAAGTGCATGTGAAACCAGGGCTGTGCTGCGGTTGGTTTGGGTTAGGTGACAGTGGGAATTCATGTGGAGGTGATGTTGACTCCTTTGTGTCAGAACTCAGTCTAGCAGGGATTTATGAAGCTGTTCAATTTTCTTCACCTCTGTTGAATGTGCTGAGAGCTGGCACACCGGTCAACAGCAATGTTTTTGGTGTATTCCCAGAACTGCAGGCTTTGTGTTTGAATGCATAAGTAGGTGGGGGAAAAGGTTAGACTAGAAATAAGCAGAGAATTTAAATGAAAAACGTAAAACCAACTGAGCAAAAACTCACTCAAAACCTTGAAATAAATTGTAGGAAAAAGAAGAAATAACTGAGAAAGGTATTTGGTCTTTAAATTCATGAGGTAGGCATATTAAAATTTAAAATAATAAAAAAATTGAAATATGGAACAGCACAATTTTCCCTTAAATTTTCTTTTTTGTGTGTGATTATTTTGTTACACAAAATCTTTTGTGCATTCCCATTTTTCAATGTCCTGTTTTTGTAGGTTTTTTTTTTTTTTTTTTTTTTTTTTTTTCTGAAAGAGAGAATCTAGCCTTCTATCCTAAAGTCAAATTGGAAGTTATTTCAAGAATTGTCTTTCAACAAATGGTTTTCCCTCAGTCAGAACAATGCCGTCTTGACTTTTGTTTTCTCTGGATGTTTTCCTCTGCAGTTAAGCTATGTTTTCTACAATATGTGTCATGCTTCTGCTACGAGCGTAGTACTGAGAATAGAGAAGACCTTTCCTTTTTTGCAGTTTCTATCTTTATTAGTTCCTATCTCATGGAATTAAGATTAATTTGCATTTGGAAAACTGTTTAACTCTCACCCCTTATATACTTTCTTTTTTACCTGTCTGTAGGCTTTATTATTTTCCTATGATGCACATAAGATTTCAAGTCATGAAATGAGATATTCTCTTAAGAATGAAGCTTTGTATTGGCACACTGTCAGCATTTCTGTCATCCTAACAGCAGCAGTCAGGCATTTCCCTGCAGTCTGCATGTGATGTAAGATGAAATTTTGATTTAATAAAGAAGTTGATACATTCAAGAATGACACACCTGGAGTTCAGCAGTATCGCGGTGCATGGAAAAGATATCTTAATGTCATAGTGCATTATGCTGAGTGGAGGAATTGCTTTAATCTCAAGTCTCTATTTTTCTGAGTTCCTACAGACAAGAGAAAATGTCTAATTTTTCAAAAACAATTCAGGCTTCAGAAGAAAGTGCTTCTTTTAGTGAATTGAGAGTGGGAATGGGCTGTGCATAGGCTGCAAATGCACTTAGAATCTATATTCACAGCTGTTAAAATTTGCTCTTTAAAAGCTCTTCCAGGCTGATCACATAAAGAAATAATTGAGGTGGTTACTGTATGGGATATCTACACTGGAAACATAAGGTGGTCTGCTGCAAGTGTGAATCTAGTCAACACCTGCCATAAATACCTGCTGAGAGCTAACATGCACCACACAAGGTTTTGAAGCAGATGGGTGAACCACTGTCATCAGTGTTGGGATTGTTTTTAATTAATTTCATTTAATCAGGAGACCTCCCGCATCTGCCATAACATTCCTAGCAAAGAGTAAGGAAACTTGGACTTTGAGTCAGGGCAATATTCACTTTCCTAAACACATATTTATGTATCTTGGTAAGAAGTAAACTTGCTAATAAGAGCTCTTGAATAGAATAGGTTGTGTTAGAAAGACTTTCTGATGCTTAGAAACATACAAATTTTCCAATAATTGATGGCATAGACAGAATGGAATATCCTGGTTTTGACACTTTAAAATCTCAAGAAGAGGTCATAAACAGGCTCTATTTATGTTTATGTTAGACCTGAATAGCCCTGCTTTTAAAGAGTCCTTTTGCTGCAATAGCAAGAGACTTGCATTCCATTGAAAAGCTCTTTAACTAAGGCAGTTGATGGAGCTAAATAAGGAAACATAGAATTTCTCACTTTAGTCCTTTTTCACGTTTCTTATGAGATGTTATGAGCAAGAAAGTAGATATTAAGAAAATTTTGAGGATGTCCTGTTATTGAGAGAAATTAATCAGTGTGTAATACACTGCAAAAAAAAAATCCCATGTGCTTTGAGGTTGTTCTGGAAAGCCAATGTACAGTGTGGCACTTGCACTGCTGTGTATTGACATCTCCCTGGAATAATGGTTACTACAAAAAATGAAAAAAGTGTTAATTAAACTGATTAGGAAGAAAGCTTTTTTTTAAAAAAAAAAAAAAAAGAATAGAAGAAATACTGGTTTTAATGGAGAGGTCTTGGCTCAGATCATGGCTGCGCTTATTCTTGGCTTATTTCATTGGGATAAATCCATATGTTCTAGGGGGTGAATCTACAGGTTTTGTGCTAATTTTAAGAGAAGACTTTCATATAAAGGTACATGAAGACTATTACAAAGGAATCTTCAAATGAAATGACATTTCCTACACATTGCTAATGAACCAAAAATTCAGAATTAATAAAAGATTCTAATATATTACTGCTTAGGATCTTGTAAAGAAGAGAAGTGGGTACGTTGTTAGGTTTAATTTCATTTTCTGCTTACTACATAGGAGGGTTAGATAACATATGTGGGTGAATGGGAGAAACGATACTGACATGCACAGAAGAAGGCAAAAAATCTCATCTTGTGTGTTTCATTTCAGTTGGGACGGACCCTCCGAAGTCCTTTCATGAAGTTTGTGGCACACGCTGTTTCTTTCACAATCTTCCTTGGACTGTTAGTAGTGAACGCTTCGGATCGGTTTGAAGGAGTAAAAAATCTTCCCAACGAAACCATCACAGATCATCCCAAACAAATATTTAGAGTCAAAACAACTCAGTTCTCGTGGACAGAATTGCTGATCATGAAGTGGGTATTGGGTAAGCAGAAACAAACCATTTAAAGTCCTTGAGGGAAATTAAAACTTAACTAACGTAGCATGGTAGGCAGGGATATCACAAAGGGGGGGAGGGGAGGAGAAATAATTTAAAAAAAAGATGAAGTTAAATTTCAGGCTGATTAAGGTATTCTGATTAAAACATAATCAGAAAAGACTTTTATTTTGGTTTTGAAAACATTGAGTAGTTCTCAGCAAATTCCAACTTTGCTGTTTTTTCCATTTTCTGGAGTAATTTCCAGAAGCTGTGTGTTTGCTGGGGTTTCTTTAATCACTGAATCTTAAAGAATGTAGTATTCTATGCAGTCACAGTAACTTACAGCTTCTCTGAGTAGGGAAAAAAGTGTCCCCTTTGGGACATGAACAACCAGCCTCTTTTATTACCTTGTTTACCTCATCTGTGAATTGGGTGTGTGTTGCTGTTTGCTTCTTGGAAAAGAACTCTGAGATCAGGTGATGAAAGTTGTTGGATAAATAAGAGCTGGATTTCATCAAGTTCGTAGTATGAAACTGCTACTGGTGGGATAACTTTTTAAAAAAGAAATGAAGTTGCCTAAAATTTATAAAGCACAGATTCATTTGGATGAACCCTTTGAGTGCAAAACTGTGTCACATGCACAAGTTAAACTGTGTGGGGATTTTTTAGCAGATTCAGATGTATTACTTTTGCTGGCACAACTTATTCCTGGCAGGTCAGCTTCTTTGAACCACTAATCTCAACAAACTCAGAAAGATTTATTGGGAAATTGATCTTATCGACTCTGCAGAATCTTTATCTACCTCTCCTGTATTTATTTTTACTTTTCACCAGGATTTTTATTATTTTCTTGCAGTAGGACAAACAACGTCATGCTTCTATAAGTACTGATGGCATTAAATCCCTCTGAAAAATAGAATAGGGCTGCTCTATCTGATGACTTCCCGACCGCCATTTCTTTGTTCCCTGTCCCCACAGTAAGTGAACTCCCATACAGGATATTAGACAAGGAAAAAAGCCTGAATAGATGCCAGACTGGATAGAGTAAGAGATATTTATAAAATGATATTAAAGCAGTTGGACAAGATGATTAGATTTTAGCCTAGGTATTCTTTTCTCATAGGCAGAAGGTATCTGCCTGCCTGGAGAGTTCCTGAGAGATGAAGAAGAAAACGTTTCATTTAAAAGCAAAGGTTTTCACTTTCCTGGGAGAAGGAAAGTGATTCATTGTACAGATTTCTGAATATAATGAGATTTTCTAATGACTGCCTACATCAGCACTGACAGTCTTCTCCAGCCATTTTGTCTGTCTGCCTACAGTAGAGCTTCAAATAATGTTTCAGCTATACTAATGTGAAATTTCAGTGCGTGTAGACTGTGGGCAGCTGGTCTGGGGCTTTGGAATTTATTGGGCCACGTATGGACTACCAACTTTATCAACTGTCAATGTGTAGAGATCATGTTGGATGCTCAGTTGTTGAGTGCAAGAATTTTGTAGATATTGCAAGTATATATCTAGAAGTGTAAATATAATTAAATGTAATGCTATAGCCAAATATTACAGGCAAAGACGGCAAGAAATGCTTTCTAAAGACAGAAATGTAAATAGATAGTAAGTATATGCTGAAGTGTGGTAAATCTCTTATGTACTAAATATACATGGCTGTATTTAATCTTGCTTGGCAATGTCTGCGGCTGCTCTCTCCAGTCTCAAAAGCATTGATGATTACCTACATTTCAATTCATAACACGATCAAAAACTGAAATCTTATTTATTCTTAGTTTTAAAGCACATTCGTCCGGTTTTTGTACCTTCTATTTTCTTATTCATACTATGGCAGCAATGATGAATGCTGATGACACCTTACTTGTTTCAACTATAGCAGACTGTTTTTGAGTAATTAGTTTACAGGTCCCTGATCTTGATTCTGTTGGAGGGGGAGGAAATTGGCTAAGTTACCTGGTTGTCAACAAAAATATTGCAACAGATGTTCAGAATAGCGTTATTTGAGAATAATGTGACACTTTAACATGGCATATTGTGGCCAAGAGTGAGTAAAACCTGTGATAACACCGCCTGCAAATAATCTCACTGGAGGTATGAAAATTGATAAATATATATATATACTTTGTTTTTTAAGGAAAAACTACTGGTGCAAGAACGACAGGCTGCTGTTAGACAAAAAGATCCCATTGCCATATCTAGCTCCCAGCTGTTTGTAAGGGAGGCGAGTAGTGGAGTAAACTAAGTGGAGACAACAACTTTCAGCCAGGCAAGCACTTTATTCCCCTCCAAAATCCATACCAGAGAGGCTCTATTTGTCCATTAGCCTGCAGTTCTGAAATGGCTGTAAAGGATTACCAGATCAGTCAGGTAGTGTTAGTAGCCCATTCAATGTCCTTGTGAAGAGCCAGATAAGCAATAGCATTTTTAGATGGGAAAATACTGTTTTGTTCTCACTCCTCTTGGTTACAAATGAGCATTCAAGAGCTGCTGATGGCAAACTCAGTGCAGAGAAATACAGTGATGTTCTCATACAAGAACTTGCCACTTGGCCTTAGAGTGCTGGGCACTGCACATTAGACTCATACACCTCAGGTGTTTGTGCCCCTTGCCTATCTTTTACCCTGCATCCGGATCTTCTCACCTCTTGCATGAGGAAGGCTGGGATTTTCTATGTGAGAAACGTGCCCCAAATGCTCACTAAAAGTAGGGAGGTTCTATTTAGAGAGACAATTTCCCCCTTGTGAAAGCAGCAGAGCAAGCAGTGGAACTCTGGGTGGGCACAATCTGAGCACAACCTTCCTGCAGCCTTTGAGAAGGCTCAAACTAGGTTCTCCAACATCAGCTGTTCATGATTTATGTATCAGGACAGTGGATATAAAAATCTGACAAACTGTTCCTTTTCGTGCACAGGTGGTGAACAGCACGCCTTGTGTATTTCCATTTTTCTCCTAACCAGGCTGTGCGTGTAGCTTGGTTCTCCTTCCCCTCCTGGAACCAGGAGTACCCATCAAGGTGACATTTCCAATTATCCTCACTGTGGGACAGCAGGCACCTCCAGGAACTGGGAAGCAGAAGCTGCTCATAACCACCTCTCCATCATCAAATTCATGGAACTCACGTCTCCCAGAGCCACCAAGGGCCTCAGAAATATTGCAATGAAATGCTGTTATACTCAGGGAAATCTAGCTTGGCCTCACTGCATGACACATCTCTGTTCAACATCCCATCTTAAGTTCCATCCCCTCAATTTTATCTACATTTTCTCTCCTCTGTATTTTTATGTTAGAAGATTTGAATACTCTCCCACAATGTACAAATAATTAGCCAGCAGTACTGACCACGTAATTACTGTAACTTTTCTACTTGTTCTGAATAGACATTTTTCTGTATGTATGGATAAAAAATGACTGCCACGTAGTTGGCAAAAAAGAACAATGTAAATTATAGGCCAACAGTGTGATACTTTCACAGAGCGATTCTAATTTTAGTCAGTCTACTCAGTTTTAGACGTGTCTTACTACATTAATCTGTGACTTAGGTATATTAAGTGACCGAGATTAGAAATAAATTTGAGTAGGAGAGTTAATATTTAAACCAGGAAAGACATTTTATGGGCATCAGTGAAGAAGTGCTGTGTTTGGCAATGACGTGCACGCAATATTTCCTGAAGTACTTTTTATACGATGTGCGCACATAATGTGTAGCCTAATGTCTCATGCCTATCAGTTTGAGAATTTTTTTTTTTTTTTTGAGCCAGAAATGTGCTCTTTTAATATTTCATCCTTACTCCAGAACAGTTCCCGAGAAACCAATTCTTTCACTTTCTGCCCCAGGCTATTTATTATTAAATCTCACCACGGTAAATGATGGCTTGCGATGAAGTTCCTGCTTTCACTCAGCCAAGAACCTGTGGACACTGTTGCCTCCCCCTGGCTTTGCTGTGCACTCAGCAGGCCACAGTCTTTCTTCCAGGATAGATCTATGTGAAACATAACCTGTGTCGTGGTACAGCTCCTGGGTTCTGCCTGGAGGTCCCAGTGCTACAGAGGTTGCAAGCTGGTGGTGCCTGAAATAGAGATAGCTTAGCTTTCCTTTGTCTTCCAAACCCTTACGAGCGCTCAAAGACGGATGGCATCTGTTCTTCATCTTGTCAGTCTCACACTGACTAATTTCTTTCCCTATAACTGACTTCTGACTGCTCCTCTTGGGACCGTGTGTGCTTCCAGGAGTCTCTGAAGTAGCTGAGCAAATGCATTTAGATGCCACACCACAAGAACTTCCAGCAAAGAAGATGAAGAGTTCATATAAAGGACATGGTTGCAGGAGGCTGCATGGAAATTGGTCGGCCCTGCTTGTGCTTGATTAAATGTGAATTTTGCTGCTGCTATGGAAACAGGATTGCAGGAAATATTTATAATTACCAGTGGGTAAAATATTCCAACATTTTATCTGTTCTGAAACATTTTGGCCTTGGAGTCCTGCTACGACTGAATATTGAACAAGCTGGTGAATCTGACCTGAGCTGTCGGCTCCAGTTCACCCAGTGAAATCATCCCCTTTCCGCAGCACTCCCCAGTACAACGTGGATGTCAAAATCCTTGAATTCTCTGGCTTTTAGATTTAGGTGTTTCTCTGGTGTTTAGATTTACTGTAAGTCTACTCTTAGAAAGATCCTAAATTCAGGATAAAGTCAGGATTTGCAAAGTGGTAAAGCAGGCTTTAATGTCTGGAAATTCATTATTTGGTATATAAAACTTAATGAAAAGGGCGATGCAAGGACGAAACTTGTTTTTCTTTTTCTCTGATCAGACTACGTTTACTGCTAGGTCAGATTTCCTTTCACAAAGCTATTTCCATTCTTAAAATGCTCCCAAGCTCTGCATTAAAGGAGGAGAAAAACCCCAGCAGAGTAAGTAGTCAGCCAAGCTTAGCAAGAAGATTTTGAAGAAAGGAAATGTGCCTTTTTTTTTTTTTTTTCCACAAGTAGATCAGCTGTAGGATTTTATAACATCCTCAGTATTTGTGAACTGTGCTTTCACAGATGTCAGCAGAAATCTGTTCTATCAGTGATTAATCTGGTGAAATTTTGAGATGTTAGCGTTGTTTGTGCAAAGGAGTATACCAGCTTAAACATGTAATCATTTTAAAGGAAAGCTGACATTAAGTGTTCTCTTGAGGAAGTCAGTTTAACTGAAGAGTTACTTGCTTCAACCTTAGAAGCCACTGGTAGCTGGGGAATGGGTCTGTCTGAATGCAAAAAGTGCCTTTGTCTGCTGGTTAAATATGCTGTGGCCTCTCTGTAGGCATGATATGGTCAGAGTGTAAGGAGATCTGGGAAGAGGGCCCACGAGAGTACGTGGTACATCTCTGGAACCTTCTGGACTTTGGGATGCTGTCCATCTTTGTGGCGTCGTTCACTGCCAGGTTCATGGCTTTCCTCAAAGCGACCGAAGCACAACAGTACGTCGATCAGTACGTTCAAGATGATGACCTCAGTAACGTCACCCTTCCCCCTGAAGTTGCTTACTTTACTTACGGTAAGATGCTTTTGGCTATCTAATGCTTCTTATTCTTTCAAGCTGTTGTATGCTAGTGCTGAAAGTACCTTCCTTTTTGTGATATTTATGAAAGTTATTTTCAAATTAAAATCATCCTTCTGAGATTTACCCATTCCAGCCATTTTCATAAGCAGCCAAAAAGAACTGAGATCTGACCCTCGTCGAGTCTCTGATTTTGCTCTGAGGCTTAGCTCAATCACTTCCTGAAAAATAGCTTGAGCAACAAATTACTGGGACCTGGGAGGATATAATTTAAATTGTAGATGATGAACCCACTTCATTTTTCAAATGCAAGAGGAGGGACATGTGAACCAGTGTGAGATCTGGAGCTGCGTTTTTAACTGGTGGTGTGCTGTGCATCTGTTACATCCAGTGCCTGTGTAATAGACGTACAAATAGAAATCACACCCATACACTGCTCCATCTCCAAGAGAACACCTTTATTTCTGAGATCCTATGTGGCTTATAAATGCTAACGTTTGGAAGTGCAAGCAATAGCATAGCTTTGGTTAACATTATTTCTGATGTTTTTTCTTTGATATTCACAAACAGAGCTTTACACTCCCATATAGTGGCTGGACTTGTTGTGTGCCTCTGTAAGCTTGAGATATAACCTTAGATAAAATCTATGGGGACTTTGCTTATGGAAGGCTGCAAGGTCTGTGGGTGTGAGCACAGTGGAGCACCCTTTGCTCACTAGGCTTGCAAGGCAATGTTCTAGAAATGAGCTTGGACCAGAGGGGCAGATCTGGGCTGGCAGTCTTCATTCACAGTAGACTTACACCATGTGGCACCAGGGACACGTGCCCTGAGACCACAGCCATGGACATGCTCAGCCTCCTGCTTGCCTCTCTGAAGATAAGCTTCCCTCCCGCTGCTCCAACAAGAAAGAGGAACTCATGCTGTGGTTTTGCTCTCCCTGGTTTGCTGGTGACCCACATAAAGTGAATTCATGATATAGAAGTGTACAGGGTCCAGAACAGAATGTCACAAGCAGATCCTGTGAATTCTTTCATCTGCTGCTTTTCCTTGGTACAAATTACTGGAAATAATGCTGAAGTTTACTGCTGTGTCCTTAGAGATGTCACTTGTTTTGGCTCTGAGTCAATACTTGCATCAAGAAGCTCACTGATGCAGTGACACTTACAAGCTACATTAACATAAATGATCAATTTTTAGTAAACAAACAATGCATAACTGATATAAAAAAGATATTTTTTAAAGTAGAAATATTAGAGTGGCTATGTTGCCAAAGTTGGTCTCAATTTAAAGATAACACAACAATGATACGTTTAGTGACTGTACCTGCTTTATCTGAACAAATTCAAGCTTCCTTGTCTAAAGTTACGGAGAGAGATCTCAGCCTCCCTATTGTTTCTCTTCCATGTATTGACATAGTGCCATGTATCCAGCTGGAGTTATAGCCAGTTATATCTGCTCTGTTGTGATTTTGGTTTTCAGTCTCAGGGGCATCAGCTGGAAAAAGGACAGCACAGTTGATGCTGCAATAGGAAATCAAAACTCCCAAACTTTTTTTTAAAGTCTTTTATCTGTTGTGTGACTGGTAAATCTCAGTGACTCGCTCATTTCTCATCATTTCCATGTCAAAAATGAAACTATTTCTTGCCCATCCTTGTAAAGAATGCTGAAGACTTCAGTGACCAGTTGTTCCAAGCCCTTTTTTTCCCTTAACTCCTGGCCAGAATCAAGATGAAGCCCTAAAAAGGAATCATTTATCATCATAACATCCACCTGCCACTTTTCATTACTAATGTCTAATGTCCATGTATTGTTTTAGCCAGGAACAAGTGGCTTCCCTCGGATCCTCAGATCATTTCAGAAGGACTGTATGCAATAGCTGTGGTACTCAGCTTCTCCCGCATTGCTTACATTCTTCCAGCCAACGAAAGCTTTGGGCCCCTGCAGATCTCTTTGGGAAGGACTGTGAAGGATATCTTCAAGTTCATGGTCATCTTCATCATGGTGTTCCTGGCCTTCATGATTGGAATGTTCAACCTTTACTCTTACTACCTTGGTGCAAAATACAACCCTGCATTCACAACGTGAGTACTTAAGGAAAAAAGGGCTGCTCTTGTAGGGCTCTGTTCATTCTGGTTTATTGCTGCTGCTAACTCTGTCCAGGTAGCTGGGATGCTGCTGAAAATTCTTCAGCTGTTAGGAGGGTGCTTGGCTAAAAGCAGAGAGGTGTCTGCACAGTGGGTGATTCCATATGCAAACAAAAGTCCATCTCTGCAGCGTACCTTTGTGTTCTCTATTCTTCCTGTGATTCCACCAAACCTAAACTCCCTTCCTCTTAGCTGCTCCCTCCCTACTTCTTGCTGGGCTTCCCACAGTGGGGGCTTTCCATTCCACACACCCACCTGTGAGGGAAGAAGAAAGCTTGGTGTGATGCTTTCCCCCTGCTGTGATCTGACATCAAGGCAGTCTCACCACACTTGTAAAGCCTGAGATGAGGAGCAGACAGCAGCTGGCGTTGGATGTGTCATTTCTCTAATGTATCATACAGCTAGCCTCAGCTCGTAGCTCCCCTAAGAGAAATGACCTTATTGGCATCATTTCTGCTCTATGAGTGGCTGTGTCCTTCCAAAGGCAGGAGCCAGTCTTACTACACTGCTCTCTTGTGCAGCACATACTTTGTCCCACAACGTTTAAATTTTCTGATTGAACCAAATGTGCCTTCTGAACCTTTCTGTAACTCAGGACACACACTAATGGAAGGATTTATGAGGGCAGATGCAATTACATTTATCTGTGCTTGGTAGTAAGAGAGAAGAAAATTGAGTGTGGGATGTGACTTGGTTCCTGTTGGAAGAGAAGATGTCCTTGAAGCACAAGAGTTAATGTGAAGTTGAGTCGATGCTGTCCCTGACTGCAGCAGTTGTGGTGTCCCCCAGGCACGTTGTCAGAGCACCCGTTACAGATTCCAGTCTCTGATGCAAAAGTGATAACTGTCCAATTAACACACACAGCACAAGTGGATCTCTGGGTCTTTTGATGGAAATAATGAGCAAACATTGCCTGGAATGGTGACTGCTCACCAGAGGAAAGATTGCTTGAATGCCTGAGGACTGTCTGAGCTGAGAAGAGTCCTGTCAAAAGGCACTGCTTGTCCTCCTTAATGTCAGCCTTGTGATCACTGATCCTGGAGGGACTTCATGGAGTTACAAAGCAAATTTTCCATGAAAATGAATTTTCCTTTTAATAGTTTGGAAAAGACTTAAAATAAGCCTGATTTTCCTCTGATTATATAAACATGCAGAAGCGTTAAAGGATGATGAGTGAAAATGAGCCCTTCATCGCACAAAACAAAGAGTGTAAATTAACATTCATCCTCAAAATCCTTCTCAGATGTCTTATTCAACAAACCAGAAACCTGCAGTCCCACACAGTTTTGGCAAGCTAGGAATGGTACATTGGCAAAGGGGCTAACCCTCACGACATTTCCCTGTTTGCTTTTCTTGAGCAGCCTGTGAACCATCCTGAGCATGGTGCTTTCCTGCTGCCATTCACTTATTTGTGACAAGGGGGGAAGTCTCAATGTGTTGTCAGAATTTGCCCAGGCGAAGAGAAATGCTCACTTTGCTGAACTCGTAAGCATTTTGTGATTTCACTGACTTCTCTGAATGCACCTCATAGCAGACGTCGCAAATTCCAATGCGTGAAATTTTACAGAAATTAAATTTCCTGCTCAAAACGATGGCTGTTTTACTATGGAACCTGAGTTGGATATCACTTGGCTAATTGTGACAGAAGAAAAAACCTGCTGGATTTGCACGTTAATCAGACTGGCCGGTTCCAAAGGGCACTGAATTGACAGCTCCCTCTGAACATCGCAGTGGATATCCCCAGTGATACCCTCACAGACAAGGAGCTGCTCACGGAAATAACATTGGATTTCAAACAACCACAGCTCCCCAGGACAGTGTGTAGGAAGAGAAAAAAAAATGAATATTTGTCCAGGTATCACTGAGAGGGATTTGAATGCTTACATCTAATAATAATCCATGAATGCTGGTGTAGCTTGCACTTTTGGAATCCCCTTCATTTTGCTTTCTGCAGAGCAGGCACACAGCACCCCGGTGGCCTCTGAACCATGTTATCATGCAGTTTCTGTCAGTTTTTCAATTTTAATGCTCTTGATGCAAAGGAAATGAAAATGCAGCGTGCTTTTCCTCACCATGTTGAACACTGGGATTATTTAGCTAACTGTGGTATACTTCCAAATTTTTCTTTTTCAGTTCTTCAGTGCTGAAAAGTTGACAGCTTTCAGGACTCTTGCGGCCGACCCCAGCACTGTTTATGTGTTTATTGTATGCTGTGTACAGAACACAGCTCTCCAAGCAGCCTGTAATTATGAACATGCTATGCAAACAAAATTGAAATGGAGGCAAGACTGATTGTGTTCGTCTTGCTTTTTGCATCGCAAATCAGGCTGAAGGCTGCAGCATGAGGGTTTCTGTCTGCTTCTCCCCAAGGGGAACTGTGACTCACTGCTCAGTGCCAATGTTACTTAAAGGCTTGGAGGCTTTTTTCTTCTTATTTTGCTCTGTCAAAATATGATATTTTTGTGGATTATATTGACTGCATTGCTTTTCTGGCAATGTTAAAGCTTTCTACCAATCAATTTAAGGAAATAACTCAGTCTGAAAGGATGCCTTAAGCTTTCTTAAAGGGGAGGATACAAGACTGACATGAAATCATGTCCTCGCTGTGATCTTTTTTGATGAACAGCACACAGCTGCTTAGAGAAGCAAGGAAAATCTGAAACTAGATGATTGCCTGTGGTCTGTTTTCTTCCTTAATGCAAAATCTTTGTTTAACTTCATCAAGACTGCCTATTGAAGCAAAATTCTTTCTGCTCCCGCTACAATTGCTGGCCCTTCTGCAGTGAGGAGAGCACAGCATACCCATGCCAGCAAGCAGCACCACTCAATTTGTCCCTGCCAGCTCCCCCTGCTCTCCGGAGTGGTTAAGATGGACAGGACTCTTGATCTCTTCCCTCATTTGTTTACCTTTGGGAAGGATAAAGCACTCTGTGTCTTTGCAGGAGGGGGCAAACAGCATAGTTGATGCTGACGAGACACATCAACATCTTGGAAATTTCAAAAAGTTTGCTCCAGCTGTCCTCATCTTGTGTTTTAGTGAGACACTTTCAAAAAGAAAAGAATATGTTCCCTGTGACCTGTGCCAAATCTTTTGCAAATTGGGAGTAGTGAGAGGGGAGGAACCATCCAAGTTTGGTACAGGCTGCCCAGAAAAGCTGTGGATTCCCCATTCCCCAGGCTGGAGAGCTGTTAGTTGGCAACCCTGCCCATGGCTGGGGGCTTGGATCTTTAAGGTCTCCACCAACGTAAGCCATTCTGTGTTTCTCTGATGCAGCCTCATCAGAAGGTGGGGATGATCTGAAGGGACCAGGTCCCTTCAGAATCATTTCCTCAACAAGTGAGAGTGCTGTGTCTGTCTGTAGGCATTGTTGAGCGTTGTGTTGGGATGCCAATTCTCCTGCCACCCTCTTGCTCCCATACCCATTCTTCTTCCACTTGATGCTAGGATTAAGGACTTTAGACATTTGCAGAGGAGCACGAATGGCTGTGCTGGAGCCCTCAGCTTCTCGGGGTGGCCAGGGCCAGCCAGTAATTTACTTTTCAAGGAGAACCTGACACCTCTCCAGAACAAAGGTTAATGCTTAAACTGCAGAAAAGGAGCGGAATTGACATGTTGTATTAAAAACCACCGGCAGGGTGGAAAACTAAGGGAACCTTTCCAAATTAAAAAAGGGAGGTTAATAGCAGGGTGCAGCTGGGATCCAGGCTGGTGGTTACGGTTTTTATTAGCTTGATAAGTGACTGATGACAGGTTTCAAAGCCAGTGGTTTTTGGTGTTGTACAAGTTCTTTAACTAGAAATACAATGTCTAATAGAATAGGAGCTAAGCAGATTTCTAACATAAAAGTGAAGGATATCTGACATATTAATGTCAGCTGTCCTTTGCTGCGTGTGATGGGAGGAGATGAGAGCAGAGTGAGGAGAGGAAATACCCTCCAAGTAGAAAAGAAGTGGTGCTTTTTTGCAGCAGTCATAGCTCGTCCTACAGGTAAATGTCTGCGTAATATCCCAGCCTCATTGCAAAACAGCAAGGAGGCACAAACAATAATTTATCTGAGTAAAATGAAGACTGAATAGAAAGCCACATTTCAACTGATGTTGTGTGACACCTATTTGGAACACCGCTCAGGATCATCTCCCACAAGTCAGTGCGGTTATGCTGGATGAGAATGATCCTGAATATTTACAGCAGTCTTACTATGATGTGCAAATGGAGGAGGGGATGCCAGGAGTTGTGATGGGAGATAAGAGCCAGTTTGCTGTGGCTTCCCTAGGTCATGTTCTAGTTTGTGTCTATAATCTGTTTTCACAAACAGATCTTGCTGGATTAGTCACCCTAATAAAAATAATTAAAAGATCCAGAAAATAATTAATGGCTTTGTTTTCTTAGAGGGCATTTACCTCCTGGGATGCGAGTAAAGGCATTATTTTCTTTCAACTTGAAAACTAAGCAAAGTTCTTACAAAACATACCAACGTTCTTCCTCGTCCTCCTCCTTCCTTCATTTCTGTCTGGGGCTGCTTTCTTTCTGCCTGGTGCAGCTTTGACTCCTCTGAATTAAGCTCTGTTTTTGATCCACTAGTTCACTTGCATTTTTTCAATTTCTTTGTCATTACCTTATTCTCCTTTTTCTTTTCAGCGTTTTATTTTCCTCTGATTCCTTTCTACCTGCAAGTAAATGTAGTAATCAAATTTAAATGCTCCTGTAGTATCTTCTATTACTCCTTAATTTCAAATTGTTTAGGAACTTAAGTTATTATTTTTTATTTTTTACAAGTCTGAATGCCTGAATTGTGTGTGGTCCCAAAGCAGGATAGGAAGAAAATCAGACCATAGGATGACTTTATTTGCATGGTGCACTGGTTACACTCATGCCACAAGTCAGAACTTCTCACAGATTCCTTTTGTGCAGAAAATGATGCTTTTCTTCTGCCCTGGAAATCCCTTATAAGGCAGTCAAGATAAGTTCCCTCTTCCTTCTCCCAGGTAATCTCTGCTTGTCTTCTCCAGATGAGGAATAGGTGGTGAAGTAAGAACTTCTGAGTCCCTTACGAAAGGTTCCAAACTGCAAGTGGCCCATAGAGGAGTCCTTAATAGGGACAGAAAAGCCAAATGACAAATAACACACCTGAGAAGAGCAGATGGAGCTCATAAGGGGTCGCTGCCACTTTATAATATTCATAGAAGTATTATTTCTTTATTAGATCAGGACATTTAATCTGGCATCTCCCAGGGTGATGGATAACTGCTTGTAATTACTGTGCCAAGGCATCATATTTGTATTGGTGGGTTGCCACTTTTATTATTAAGCATTTATTCTGGCTGATTTGCTACCAACTCTGTAAAGCGACCATTTTCTTTCTTTTTAGGGTAGAAGAAAGTTTTAAAACCTTATTCTGGTCAATATTTGGCTTATCTGAAGTGATATCCGTGGTGCTGAAGTACGATCATAAATTCATTGAGAATATTGGATATGTACTCTATGGAGTATACAACGTGACCATGGTGGTGGTGCTGCTTAATATGCTAATAGCCATGATAAACAACTCTTATCAGGAAATTGAGGTAAGATAAGAAACTGGGTTATGAACACAGTATGCATAACTATTATCAATAATGAAAATGTTAAAAGAACAAGGAAGTTGTTGTTTATTCCGTATGCAAAATTGGAGCACTATTGAAATACAATTCTTACAGAGAGTCAAGGCCATATCAGTTCCAAACTAGGGCTGAATTAATAATTAACAGTGAATCATTTCTATAAAAACTTCAACTTCCTTGTCTTTAATGACCATCTGTGAGCAATCTCGATTTCCTTTGCGTGTATTTAATGAAAGCAGCTTGTAGTAGTTTTTACTGCCTACATTGGTTGCAGTAATTTATCCACCTTAGCTATGTTATTTCCTTATGACAAATCAAGCAATATTTCACCTGTTTCTTTCCCTATTTTCTACTGGCTAAACATGCAGGCCCATTTAGGGCTGCAGCTCATAGATACACATATAAAAATTCCTTATTTTCCAATTACCAGGTATGAAATCTTGGTATATATTTTTTGTTTTATGTTGAGGCACCCCTGGGCCCACAAATCATAATGGCATGAGCAAAAACAAAAACAAAAACAAACAAACAAAAAAAAACCATCAAACAAACAAACAAAAACCCCCACCACCAGCATATAAAGGATATGAATACAACCATCACAGAACATGAATTTGCAGAAAGGTGTTTACAGGGTTTACCCAACTTTGTTCAGTAGCACTGGTAGAAGCAGGCTGGGTTTGCTGGGTGCTTTGGACAAAAACAACTCCCTGCTAACATAAAAGAAGAAAAAGAAAGGATTAATATTTGGACAGTGTTAATGCTGATTCACCTCTTTCTTCCGATTTGCTAAATGTCAAGTTTCTGTGGCTGGATTTGTATTAATTATTCGCTCTAATCTTCCCTCAGAACCTGACACTGCAAAAGGCCACAGCTGAAATTATTTTCTGACTGTAATGTCTGATTCCTCCATGTACTGTAGTGCAAACAGAGCTCTATCTCACGTGTGCTGCAACTGAGTCTAAATGTCAGAGGGACCTTACATGTGCACTCTGCTCTGGAAGCTTTCTTGTGTGCAGAAGGTATTTTCCCGAAGTTTTCTAATCACTTTGAATCATAGAATGGCTTGGTTTGGAAAGGATCTTAAAGGTCCCTGAGTTCCAACCCCCAAACCTTAAGATGAAGCAGTTTCTACTGAAACGAGATCTGCTTCTGAAGGAGTATCAGATTCTTCATGCATTTCTAGTTTATTGTAGTAAGTAGAGATTTTCTTGTGAGTTTGCAGAAGAGAAATATCAATAAATGTCTCAATAGGTGGCCTATGTTAGTTTTCTGCTCTATATTCAATATTCCATGATGAACAGTTACCTGGAAAAGCCTTGAACATCCTTCTTGGCTGCCTGGAACTTTTCAGAACTTTGTTAAAGAATATTTATAACTATCAGCAAGAGAAACAAATGTGAGCTATTCCATCCAGAGACCTGGGAGAAATCTAGTAAATCTCACACTAATTCCTCTAAATCCTCAGCAACAGAGAGATTAAGGAAAGACAAAGTCATCCTACTGACTAAATAGAAAGTCCTTTCTGTTTATCTGACAACAGCAATGTCCATAATGACAGAGGATGGTAATTACTTAGGAATTAAATTCCATTGCAGTCAATGGGAAAATGCTTTTCTGTTAGCCAGTTTACAAAATAGTATTCTCGTGCTTTCCATTGAACATCTCTTTTCATCTACTTCTGGTTTTCTTCTGTTTATCCCTCAAGTATTAATGCTTCCTGACCACTTTCTATTTATGGAAGGAAAAAAAAAATCCTTCTGCCAGCCAGAAACACTTCCATCATTAGCTCCTTAGCTATTTAGCAGAACAGCCTTAAAACTGTTAACAAATTATTTCTACCATAATTCAGCTTTAGGCTTTTGTGAGGTTCGACCCCAAACAATGAGAAGGCTGAGCAACAGCGGTGAATGTTGCTCTGTTGGCAGAAGTATCACTGTAGCTGCAACAGAATTAAGCTCAGTTGTATTAGTCAGGTAGTAGTAGTTGTAGTTGTAGTAGTCAGGTATGCTAGTTTTTGACATGGTTTTCGAGGTAGGAATTAATCAGAGGTTACTGATTTCAGCAGAACATGGATGTACGTGAGTATAAGGAACCAGCAGACCGTGTTTCTATCTGTGCTGCTGCCCTCCATATAAACTGCAAGACAACAGCTGTATAGCAGCTGTATCCCTCTGTTTCTTTGCCTGATGGATGGATCTGACCATCATCCTCTGTAAATGCCAAGCAGATCCTTAAAGGGTGTGCTAGCTTGTCCTTGAGTTTGGAAGTGACCCTGGCCCATCCTGATGCTTCATAAAGGAGATTCACAGGCAGTGAGTTGGGTTGTTTTTTTTTTCCTACAGCTGCTTAAGTGGCAGGTGGTGAATGGTAGGAGAAATAAGGTGCATTGATCTGGGAATATTATCGTGGTGAACGCAATCAGGATTGACCAGGAAGTAATCTGATGATAGAAGAAATCAGTGATCTAGCCTCCTCTATGGGTGATTCCTGGCCAGTGCAGTGATAACAGTTACCTGGCAATTAGCACTGCAGTTAATCAGAGGGAATCGTTGTATTTGTAACTTCTCCTTTCCATGACTATGTCTATGTTTTAATACAGATAACTTACCAGCAAAGCACCAGCACTGGGTTGTTACTGAAAGACAAGCCCTTTGCTGTCTAATGAAAAAAGTAATGTTTGACTTAAAGGAACCACACTATTGTGCAAAACACCTTCAACAAACCTAGTTACTGGCCACTGCTCTAAAGCTGGCTGCAGCTGTGCTCCCATGTTCAAATGAGACAAAGAAACGGGGCAAAAAATGCCACTCTGAAACGATTTGCTCTTCATTATCTCCCTCGTTGCAGCACAGCTCTGCTCCAGCCTTCTGTGCTCCCACCTCTCCTCCAAAATGCCTCTTTGTGACACTGTGCTGCGTTTCTGCAGCCTTTGCTGGAGAGAAATGTGAACTTATTTGTATCCCATCTTATGCTGACCTTTCTGGCTCATGGCATTTGCCTGGCTTAGAAGGCAAAAACGGTTCCCCTGTTCCCAACTTCTTCTTAATAAGCAGTTTGTAAAATTTTTCTGTCAAGCAGAAATAGGTGACATTCAGTCTGGTATTTGGAGGATTTGCACTCTCTGTTCATTCATTTCTTTGTTTCTTTTTTCCTTTTTTTTTGAGATGACAGAGAAACCTAAGAAGATAACATTACTTTTAGGTGTTCTTTTAGCTGATTCTTGTTAAATCCTGCCTTTATATTTGTTCTCATGATAGCTGAATTCCTTTCTTTGTGCTAATTATGCATTTGGGTGTTATTTTCTCTTCCCTTTCCAAGGAGGATGCAGATGTGGAGTGGAAGTTTGCACGTGCCAAGCTCTGGCTGTCCTACTTTGATGAAGGAAGGACTTTACCTGCTCCCTTTAATCTAGTGCCAAGCCCTAAATCATTTTATTATCTCATACTGAGAATAAAAATGTGCCTCATAAAACTCTGCAAATCTAAGGCCAAAAACTGTGAAAATGATCTTGAGATGGGAATGCTGAACTCCAAACAACGGGTATGTTGCATCTTTGCTTTTTGCCTTCTGTGTAGAGTGATAGATCCACGGCTGCAAGGACCTTCTGGTGGGGTTGCATCGTTTGCAGGTTGATCAGGGACAGTGCAGTCTCTTGCTCAGCGTTGTTACTTGTCTTATATCAGCACCTAGAGGGTCCTCCCAGACTTGCAGCCTCATTGTACCGAGCACTGTTTGTACACCTGTGACAGAGCAACTCTTATAAAAGGAGGCACTTCTATAATGGGGTTTACCATAGCCTAATAGACAACGTCAAAGGGCAAGGGCAGAAGCACAAATAATATCCCATCTTATCTGGCTCCTAATCTGCCCAGCAGGCTTTCATGCCTCTTCAAAACATGCTCTTGCCTTTAAGTGATTTCCCAATTAATTTTAGTGCCATTACGTTAACCACCATATTTACTGCCATTCCAGGTTTGGGAACAAGTTTCCAAGCAGTTACTAATAACACTTCCTAAATGCCTACAGCTGCAATTAGCAACCCCTCTCTTACTTCTGCCTAGTAATGAGTAGCACTGATGGGCAGATCCTGCCTCTTCCATCTCTTCTTTGGCCACCTGGAGTAGAAATGTGCTTTGGTAGCACTGGGGTTGTGTTCCCTGTCAAAAACAAGCATCTGTCTTCTAGCCATTACCAGCATCCTGATTAATAATATAATTATTTCTCAAGATCAGTGAGGCAGTTGGGAATAAAAAGCCCTTAAATAGGGACTTCCCTGTACACTTGCATGCAGTTGTAAGAGTCTGTGTGTGTATTAGCACCTTTGAGTCTATATGTAATTAATTCCTTTGAGTACTTCTTTATTTCTTTAGCGTTTGGACCAAAAAGTTCATAGGTGGATATGAGTGTCACATAAATCTGTAATAAATGTTGGTCTTCTGAAAAGACTTTTGGAAGATTCTAGTTGGGAAAAGCAATAGCTTTGTTGTCATCTGATAAAAAAAAAAAATAAATACTGTTCTATTTTTAAAAAGGGTTCAGATAAAAAAGTAGCAAATTGTACTACTGTTTTCAAAGAACTGCTGCAAATCAATTCCATCTCAGAATTTTTTATAGCTGCATTGACTTGTTCTCTACAAACCTATTTATTTTTTAAAAACTGTGCTCTCCATTGGTAATCGCCAATCTAAGATGAATACATTTCATTTTTCTTAGCACCTCCTTAACCAGAACTGGTCTGAGAGTACTGTTTGTGCCTTGACAACTTAAAATCCTTTCTTTTTCCCAGGAGTTTTTGTTTTTCAATTCTTTTCCTTCTTTTGGAACCTTTTTAGAACAGAATGCACTGACTTTTATTACACCCACACATTTAATCATTTCCTACCGGATTTATAAAGCTCCCTTAAGTTTGGGGTCGTTCGCATGAGAGAAGCTATCACTGGCTTAATACATCTCAACGTTTTATCGTTACAGAAAGTTCGTTTTCAGTCTGGCAGTCTGCATTCAGAAAACTTTTCAGTGAAGAATGCTTATAACAAGCCCACAAGATACCAGGTAATCACAGAGCGGGGCAGAGGTGTGCTGGTGTACTGCACTGCTGGGCTGTATTGCTTGGGTCCAGTTGGTGCCATCCTGTGATGTGCTGAGCTGTGGCTTAGTGCGGTCACAGCGCTCAGAGGCAAATGCTGCGTATCATCCATGGTAATAGACGTGGTGTTAATATAGGCCACGCTAATTAATTCCTCTCATGGGTATTAAGCTTCATAGCAGGACGGTCATTCAAGCTTTAATCTCCTAGTCTCGCGCTGGCGGCGTTTCATTGTCACGACACCATGCCACCCCTCCAGCCTTTCCATTGCCATTTGCACGTGCTTTCTCTGTCAGTAACTTGTCCTACACTGCAATGTGGTACAGTCCAAAAACACAGGTAGCTGATGTGACACCATCAAGATTGAAGGGAAGAGAGATGATTGTCCTCAAAGCAGCACTTTGGCATTTCTGACATTTTCCTGTACGTTCAGACCCACAGGTAGCAGAAAGATGCTGCTATAACTTCTAAATGAGATCTCCTAATGTTTGTGGTAAATTAAGCCCTTATTTCTAGGGTTGAGAAAGCCAAATACAGCTGTGAAAGTAAGTTGAGTTTTCAAAGAAAGGCTGGCATAAATGCTTGTTATTTTCACTTGATTTTGCTCCTACTGGACTTGCCTTCAAATGATCTTAGAAAGTGCCAGTTGCTGTAGGAAGAAATTGTCAAATAATGCAAGAAAGGTGCAGTAATCTTCATTATCTGAATATAAAAAAAGGAACAAACACTTTGATAGTCTGTACAGCAAATTTTCTTCTGCAGCTGGGAAGATGTTTGAAGCTTCTCTGCATGTTTCCTTTAGTGAGGCTTATCAGGTGAAGTAGACCTGCACTTTGTGTAGCTGTAGTATGGTGCTCTCAAGGGATATCAAGAGATGTGCAGAACTAAGCCCGCAGTAGCTTGAGAAATAGGATAAACAGCTGTCATGATGTGGGGATAAACTAGTCTGAGTAAAAGAATGTCCTCATCAAACCCTCTTCAGATGAGGCTTTGAATGGAGCACTGCTAAAATGCTGTGTTAAGTTCATGTGTTTGTCTCCACTCCCAACACTGGCAGTCTGTCATGCTGTCAGCAGCACCTTCCTCTATAAAAGTCAGGAAAGGATTTGTCAGGGAAATTAGAAGGACTGGTTGGTAATTTTAGAAGCTCAGGAATGTATTTTATTTGATGTTTGGTGTGATAAAATAGCTGCAAGAGATGAGCACATGTGATGGCTCACTCTGGAGCTCTTGTACTGCCCAATGGGTAACGCGTGGGATTGAGACCAATAGTATTTAAACTGTTTCAAGTTTGGCCTTCATTATCACGATGCTGTCTGGAAGCTTTATTTGTCACTTCCCTGTAATAAACAGGATTGTTTTGCTGAGAAGCTATTCCATTTATTGAAGCTGTAAGGAACAGTGCTGGAGAGAAGGAGAAAAGCAATATGGAGCAAAAACGAATAACTTTCCTAAACGTACTGGCTGAAATATCTACTAGGTGACTAAGTAGCCTCATGTTAGGGATGGCCATGTTTTTAATTTAGTTTCTGTAGACAAATCTGGCTGCATTCTGTTCTCGATGGATCAGGTGGGCACCTTCAGGCTTTTGGCTTTCATGTGCAGCAGTTAATAGAGGACTGTATTTGAGTAGTGGCCTTCAAAAATACCAGCTGCATTGGAAGTGGAGTAGATAGATGTTACCATATTTTTCCAGATAGTAATGATACTCATTGTTTATGTCAATTCCTTGTTTTATTCTAAATTTCCTGTCATCTGTTCTGAAACAAACAAACAACAAAAATCATATATCTTGGATCTAGGATTTCCCTACTTTCCCCAAACATTACTTCATTTATGTTTTCCCAGGTGTCAACCCTACCTCCCTCTGGATTCTACTACCTTGGCCATCTTCAACACACCGTATGTGCGCTGTGCCTCACCTCTGTTGCCTTAACTGACCCACCCGGTTAGCCAGATGCCTCTTTGAGACAAGGACAGAGTCTTTAAATCCCACATTCCATGGCTACATGACCTTTATATTAATGAGTGGATCCTTCTTTGATTGCACGTGCATTTCCTACCGTTATAGCTGGCTTCTGGGGAGAAAAAAAAAAAGAGCAAGTGTATCGATTCCTTAATTCGAGTTTCACAGTCTTTGCAGTGATTTTAAGTGATGTTCAAAGCAGACGTGATTGCTTTGCGAATAGGTGAGCTCACGCTGAGAGGTTTTCCCTTAATAGTGGCCATCTGCTCAAGAAAAGGCATTTGCATATCCTTTCTTGGATGTTCATCGAGCTCTCCTCTGTTTGCAGAGGATGCAGAAAGCCCTGAGGGCACAGAACTATTCACTGAATGTGTCACTCTTTTGTCTCAAAGAGAGCCCTTTGACCTCATTCTAGAAGTAGTCCAAACATCATAAGGCTTTTCTATTTTCCTGTTTTAAGAAGCTGCTCCCAAGCGAGACAGCATGTCCTGCCTTAGCTCCTCCCCTGAGACTGAGCTACGGCCATCAAGCATTGCATGCCCAAGAACTGATATAAACATCCAATAAGCAAATTTAGGCATATTAGTTTGGACTCCTGATCGTTATCTCTGATAGAGCGGCACTTTTTACATTTCTCACAGTTCAAATGCTTTTTTCCCCCACTGATGAGCATCTTTTCTGTAGCAAAGAGCTGGCAATGATGTAGGCCTTCTGCTGTAAGCCACTGGGCAGCCTGAAAATGACAGTTACTTTCCTGCTACATAAATAATGTGTTTTTGAAAAAATATCACATTGCAAGCTCGCATCCATCATCACCTCTTACTGTTACCATATATGCTGTTCCTTACTAAGTCATCCCCCATTTTATAAATCTACATGATGCTGTTTTTACTATATGTATGTCCCATAACATCCACCTTTTCTCTCCAAATTGTCTCATTCTCCATTTTTGTTTTCTCTTTCTCTGTCCTAAGTCTGTTCTCTCTCCTCAACCCCAAGTTCCAAAGCAAGTATTTCTGTTTAATTTTGGGTTAGATATTCAATTCATCATCATGAGTGAGTTTGTTACCATCATTAACAACTTATTTCTTCCAGTAAAGTTTATTTTATAGATACGTTAAACAGCAGCTTGTTCAAGAAATGGTTTGAGTCCCACTTCTTAAATTACTGTTGGATCATCTATGTTTTCATTATGTTTGTGGGACATACTCTGCACTCAGATGCATGCCACAAACAAAATGTGGGCTTATTACGGAATGGCAATCAATCAACTACTTCAATACGAAGTTCACAAGATAGAGTAGAAAATAAATGAGAAGTCAATGATAAAAATCCCTTTGCCTCCTCTGAAGCCAGGCTTCATCCATAGAGAAGTCAGGTGCTTGAATTTTTCAGAGTAAGTCGAGAATTGAGGAGGTGTGGATAAACTCATGTTGAGTGTCTCTGTTCTCTTTTCAGAAAATAATGAAACGCCTGATTAAGCGCTACGTGCTGAAGGCTCAGGTGGACCGAGAAAATGATGAAGTCAATGAAGGCAAGTGGATTTTTATTATTGCCGCAAATTAGAGCATGTTACTGCTATTGATATCTCAAGTAAAAGGATTGAGCTTAGAGAACACCCTTGGCGGAGAGGAAGCATGCCTCAGGCTCACATGTAGGAAAATGATGCTGACTCAGAGCCACCTTGCTGCTCTGAAATGTTCCTTAGCAGAAAACAAGGACCATAGAGTCTGTCTGTACAGCGTCCTGCTTTGCCTCATAGCACTACATGTCCTTCCTTTGCAAAACCCAGGGCATTACCCATACTTAGCCTTGTCCTGGGGCCTAAGTAAAGTAGTTATTGACTGTACTGCCCATGCCCACCATAAGGACATTGCTGGAACTGAATAAGGATATACGCTGCCTTGGTATCTTGTAGTATTTGTAAGCAGATGGAAAAGACATTCCTTGTAATGTCTTTTCCCTGCTATCCTTCTGCCAACATCCCATGTAGGCGAAGGTCTATACATGGAGAGCAAACAAGAAGAAAGATGAATTTTCCATACACAGTTGTTGTTGTTGTTGGTCCCTCTACTGCAAGTACAGGTAATTTCCTGTAAGCCAAATATTAAATGCATAAAAGCAGTAACATCATAGAAAGTGCCACAAATGCCCATGACCTAGCTCAAGTAAATAGATAATTTCTTCTGTCATAAAATTATAGGTGTGATTCCTTTAATATTGCTAACAACAGTGTATTGCTCCCTTTAGGAGAACTTAAAGAGATTAAGCAAGATATTTCTAGTCTCCGATATGAACTCCTGGAGGAGAAGTCCCAGGCTACTGGTGAGCTGGCAAGACTTATACAGCAACTGAGTGACAAATTCGGGAAGAACTTAAATAAGGACATTTGACCGTGAGCACAGAGGAAAGCAACTGGTTTTCTAAACATTATTCAGTCTCAACCAGCATCTTAAGAGGACAAAAACAGCGCAAAAAATGGGGACCAGGCACTCATCTTCTACGAATTGGCAGTGTCAGTTGGAGCACTTTGCATTACTCCTGTGTTTGGTGAATTTCCAGTTAAATCTTTTATGACACAAAATAACTTACTGGTAAAAGCATACCCCCTTCAATATCAGAAACAAATGAACTGTAGGGAACGCACCTTTTAAAGGCAAAAAAGCCAGATCTTCATCCACCTGTCTGCAGTGAACTGTGCTCATTTACCTTAACTCTGTTGACCAGGAGTTGGTGAAGGCTGAAGGAAAAACATGCCAAGCATATTCCTTGAGAATTTAAAAGAATCCTGTCCTTGGGTGTGTACTCTCCTTTTATGTTTACATGGGCATCCACAGAGGTAACTTTGAACAGCATGGTGGTTAATGAAAAGCATATGAGAAATTGTCTGCTGAAAGGCCAGTTGTCAGATACTTTTCAGATTGGATGAGAGAGTTGGAACCATGAACAAAACTTGTGGGGTAAAAGGTCCTTCATCCCTTTGCTGGAACCTAATAAAGGGATTCCAAGCCAAAAACTTCTTTCTGCCTTTTCCAGCTGTTTTAGCCAACCCACTAACAGCAATGGTCCCTTCAAACATATACCAAGCCTCTCTTTTGTCCACAGATGACCCCAGCTACAACAACAGCGTACAGAAATATTCAGTGAAAATCCACAGCAGAAGTAACATATTTTGTGCTTATGTGTTCAGGACAAGGAACAGCACTAATGGATGAGAGCAACTCAACTCAGCTGCTCTGCTTTTGGGTTCCAGAGTTCAAACAGCAAGCCATAGCATGAGGTAAACTATGAAAAACATACCCCAGGAGCTTCAAATCTTTGAAACCGTAGGAAAAGGCTTCATTTTCAATGAGGACATGGTGACAAATAAAAAATAAAAAGAAGAATGAATTGTTGAAGAGATGATTGTTCTGAGTTATGTGTTTGCTCTTCTGGAGGACCTGGAAGGAATTAAAACCAGTTCCAAGGTTGTAATACAAACACTCAGAGTGCATTTTTACAAAGGGTAAGCAACGAGTCGATGGAAAGCAACTGAAGACTTGGATTGCTTGGGTTTCTACATTTAGCTACATGATTTCAATATTTAAAGCACACCTTACAAGTTGGGAACCGCTGAACTGTACTGTTTGTTCACAAGGTACACCTATGAGATGACCATCGCCTTTAGGTATCAGCTGAGCAGATACAAGCAGAAGCAGAAGGTGACCCGTGATCAGTTCTTAAGTGCCAGATGAGAACACAGATAGCCTAATAGAATCATAGTTATATTTGTACAAAAACGTTGAGGAAAAAAAAAAAGACAAAATAAAAAAGTGTACTGTACGTAGATCTGTTTAGAGAAAAAGCAAAATACTGTATTTTTACCTTTAATAAGATTATCTTGTATACTGTCATATTTTTACCTAAGACCAGGAAAAAAAAATAAAATTACCTCATACTATTTTGTTGTACACTCAGTGAAATACTTGCCTGATCTTTTGGATATCCTGAACATTTTGTTGCTTTTCTGCTGTGTTAACAGTGAAACCATCCAAAGAAGGAATTTTGCCATAAAACTTCTGAAATTTGACAGAGTCAAAAGGCAAAACTTCAAGTATATCTCAAGGGAATGAACTTAGAGAATGGGGATTTCTGACAACAACCTGTAAATGTGTCTCCTTATCAGTGGTGCTTCATTTGAAATACTATCAGTATTAATACGTTTTTAAAAGTAATGTGGGAAATTGCTACTTTTGCATGATGGTTCTTGCAGAGTAGTGTTATGATGAACCACTTAGCAGACATCATCTACCACAGAGCACCAAATGCTGGCACAAGATGGTCACTACATGTCATGTTTGTGGGAATGGTAGCCCACTTGTCTCTTTGGCCTGTTTTCCTCTGCTTAAATTGGAAAATGGTGCTGATTTAAACTATTCTGCTTTCTCCATGAGAAGATGGAATATCTTTCATGGCAATACTGCTATATTTCCCTACCAACCACTGTATAAAACTCATTTCAACTTTGATAAAAAGCCCTGTCTGAAAGATTTGTCTCATTACAACTCTATGGCTGGCTCTTGATCCAGGAATTGCTTCACCCTTCCCATTCAGTGTTTTAACATCTCCTAGGAATGCAAGTAGAATTCGTTAATGCTAAGGAAGTCATATTAACCATAATTTCCATTTCTCATTGTACTACTTATTGAGTTAGATAAGAAAGGTAAGTGGAAATGCAATGATACACTTACATTTTGAATATTTAGATGTAATGCAATGCTCCTAAGGTCCTGTGATGCAGAAGGAAGTGTTCTCCTGGTGCTGAATATCGCATCTGTGCATGCTGTGGTCAGCACGAATGGCAACGCAGTGTGAGGAGCTCTGTAGAGTGATGTGGGGCACAGCCACGTCCCATCAGCTGCCCTGAGAATGGTGGGGTGAGCAAAGCAGCACAGCCCTGCTCTGCATGCAGGAATTTGCTATGAAAGAGCATCACGTTTTCTAGAACTTCAAAAGGAGACTGAAAGAAGTACAGAGAAAAATGCAGTTTGAAAACTGTGCTTCTTCCCCTTTTAAGCATTTACATTCCATGAACTATCCAGGCACTGAGGTTCTTTGTATTAATATTCATGACAAGCAAAATCCCACTTCTCCAAAGCACTTTTCTCATTCGGTCCCAGGAATACCAGCAAGAAAGCTGCATGCTATGTATTCAAGTGCTAGGAGCAGAAATGATGTTAAATTCGTTGCATGGTTTATTCTCCAAACTCTGTTTACAAGAAATTAAAGTTAAGAACCTCACTAAATGATCCCTGAGAGAAGTCAGGGGTTTTAGAGAGGAAATATCAGAGCAGCTGGGACCCCGAAAGGACAAGGTCTGGGGTGTGCAGCCCCCTATGCCATCCCCCATTATCAGTGGCAGGCTGGCTTGAAATATGGGGGTTCTATTTCTTGAACAAATTCACAGTGCAATGGGATATCACTTTGGCCAAACTGTATAAATGGTTAAAATATTTTATGGGAAATATGTTAGGGCTCACCAGTGAGCATCGTCCAAATCTGCTTAATGCTGCAAACCCAGCAGACCAATCAAACTGGAAGTTGGACAAACTGGAAACAAAGCCATCAACCTGCCAGCACTGATGTGCTGACTGCCCCAGTGTTCAGATGGTGGTTTCCTTCCTTGCATCAGTGCATGCTAACAGAAAGAGACAGCAGCAGAAAGCATTAGCATGCATTTAAGCAGGTGAACTGCAGAGCTTTCAGCCAGCAATACCTGTAGACCAGAGATGCAAATACTGAACCAAAGAAGCTGCCAGGGGGTTTCTGGCACTTCCAGAGAGCCAAAGAAGCTGGCCTAACTACATAAAGGAGGCACTGAGGACACAGCAGAGGACAGCCCATCACTGCACCACAGGCAGGCTTCGTATTGATACTGAGATGTCTTCACTACAGTTAAATCAGTGCAAACAGAAAGGGAGATAATAGCCAAAGCAGCCAAATAGATGAACTGGATGGAGAGCTTGCAGTGTATTTAACAGCAAGTAAAAGCATACTCACTTATGGTCACTTGAGAGAGATTTAACACAAACATGCAGTGTGATAAATAGGATTTGGAAGGGCTTAAAAGGTTAGTGAATAGCTAGCAAGCTTGTTAATATTTAAGCAGTATTGATTATAATGCAGACTAATATGTAATTCTCATATTAACAATTAATTATATTGATGCAAGGATTTAATTAGGACTTACCCAGCAGGAGGGATGAGGGATCTGGTGCTGAGATGAATTTCCCTGCTGTAGCCACTGGTCCTCACTCTGGGCAATTGGTCCACACATACTGAGGAAGCAAAAGGCTGAAGGTCGAAATCTTCCAGAGGATGAATGTCACACTTTAGTACATCAAAGAGGATGGCACACAGACTTCATAGCATATTACATCTGAAAACAGAGAAACAAATCCCCAAAGGAAACCTCCACCTGTGTGTGACAGCTGCTGTGCTCTCCCTCTCAGTTCCGTTTTACTGGATGGTAAGCATTACTTTACTTCCACCAAGTTTAAAAACTGATTTTGTGAAAAGATACATTTTTTTTATATATAAAAACAGACTAGGGATTAAACCCACATGCTGATTCCCAGACAAAAGAAACAAAAGTGCATTTATCCTCCAACAAAGCTTGCTGTGCGCCTCCATTTAGAAACAGCACTGACTGATTGATCAGTCATACCTGCAGCCTTCCAGGCCAGAAGTACAATCCTTCAGAGAGCTGCCACACTCATCTGTCCAACCTCACAGCCACGTGAGCTCACATCTCAGAGACTTCCATTCTGGTCGCTTTTCTCCCCAGGTCCCTGAGCATCACCATCTCCTTGTCACACCTCACAGCATCATCAAACCTGAAGCTTTTGGAGATGATAAGCAGGCCAGCCTTCAGCCAAAAAGGGGCTGCCGATTTCGTTCGAGGAGCAGATGCTGAAGGCATTTATGAGAAGCAATCCAGCTCGTGGCTTTCAGCAGTGTCTGGCTGCTGAAAAGCAGTGTTATTGAGATTAAGGAATGACAGTAAGTGAATAGCAAATAATAGCTCCTCAGAAGCAATATTCACTGCAGAGTAAAAAGACGCAACTTGAGGGAGAGTTTTGTATGTATTAAAGATGCTTACCCATGTCTTGTGTGCTTATTAACACCCTTGCTGTTATCCAGGCATGGCACCAAAGCTGCATTTTCCATCATGTTTCACGAACCTCTTGCATTAGGACTTTCATGTTCTGCAGCTCTTCCTAAGGGGGAAAACAGCAGAGATAGAAAAGTGCAACTTGGAATGAGAGGAAGAAATCTTACGCTACAAGTTAAAACAACAGCCACATAAGCCACAAGCCCCATAACCCCAGGCGGTCTGAGAGGCGAGCAACCACGGATTAGAGTTTCAGGAGCTTTTTTTCCTCCCTTCCTCGGAGCACTACGAAGTAGGGCCGGGGCTGCACGTCGCGTCGGGGCCGGCAGGCAGCGCTCAGCACCAAGCGATGCGCAGCGCCCGCACTCCTAAGGGAAGCAGCAGCTAGAGGAGCAAAGAAATCTCTTTCTGCAGGTTGGTTTCTCTCTCTCTCTCTCTCTCTCTCTCTCTCTCTCTCT